CCGGTCACCGTCCCGCTGCACTCACCCGGCGTCAACGGCACCGTTTCCGACTCCATTGCCCCGGAAGAGGAGGAGCCGTATACCATCAAATGCATCTGCGCTTTTGAGGATGATGATGGAAACACGGTTTTCTGTGAAGGGTGCGAAACTTGGCAGCATATCGAGTGCTACTACCATGGTCGAGATGTGCCCGACGTGCATAACTGTGTCGATTGCGAGCCGCGTCATCTGGATGGGCGGCGTGCAACCGAACGGCAGAGGCGTCTTAGGGAACAGAATGACGGCGGTGACCGGAAAACCAAGCGATCTGGAAATAAGAGTCATAAGAAAAAGATCAAAGAACATGGTGATCAGGTAAATGGATTTCATCATCGGTCGGAATCCGCGCTGCGCGATCAACCTGTTGCAAAGAAGGTCAAGACAAATCATCGTGCTTCGGGGTCGATTAGCTCTGTCTCGGGTGCTCCGGGTCTTCCACCTGACCCACGGAAACGGGCTGCAGCGTCCATGAGCCCCATAAAACCGGCCGGCCCTCCCATCCCCCTCTATTCGCACGAATTCTTACACCTCTATGATCATGATAACGATTATGCGAGTATGGACAGCAATCTGTTTGTTAACCTTCCCTTGGCCGCAGATCTGGCTTCCTGGGTAACGGAACCAACCGCTCTGGCCCGAATTGCCAATGGGCGGTCCGCGCAGGATATCTTTACTTGGTCTGGGGCATCACTTGATCGGTCGCGGTGGCCCACACTGTCAACTGAGTCTATCACAGAACCTAGTATCGAATTGGAGGGCCAACACCCGACATGGAAAGTGCTTAAGACCAGAGATCGTGTGGGGAAGGACGAAATCGTTGGGGAAATCACAGGCAAGATTGGACTGCTGCGAGATTACTGTCTCGATCCCAGTAATCGGTGGCAGGAGCTCCGTCATCCGGAGCCTTTCGTCTTCTTTCATCCCCAGCTCCCGATCTATATCGATAGTCGCCATGAAGGTAGCGTTCTGCGCTACGTGCGGCGGTCTTGCCGTCCAAACGTGACGATGAAGACCTACATCACGAACCAGGTAGAATATCACTTCTGCTTTGTTGCAAAAGAAGATATTGCTCCTGACTCCGAGATTACTGCCATGTGGTATCTGGATCCTCAGCTGTTTGAATCAAGCAATGGTCTAGTCAAGCAAGAATCGAGTGATAGTGCCCAAGACAATGCTGCCATTTGCATCAGCAATGTTCTCGCCCATTTTGGCGGCTGCGCCTGCGTTCCACCTTCAAACTGCTTGCTGGCCAGCGTAGATCGCCGGCGACACCCCAGATTATTGGACACCAGCATGAAACAGGCCAGCCTCAAACGGAAGAGACCTAAGACAAAACCAACCATTTCCCCCACCGCCAACAGTCGCGCTGGGAGTGAAACGACCAAGGTTATGGATGAGGATGATCAAGCCGACAGTCGCTCTGCATCAGGCTCTGTGCGCGGACAGACTCGCAGTCGCGACCTGACCCCCACACTGCAGACTCCGACCGAGAACTACTTGCTGGGAGACTCCGAGCTCTCCGCCCGCGAGAAGCGGAAAATCGCGGCGGCCGAGAAGAAGTTCCAGCAATTGGAGCAGGATCAGCAAGCAACCAACAAAAGGAAGAAGCGAGCTAGTGGTCAGTCAAGTCATGGTCGCGAGCGTCAATCGCACTCCCCACCGGCTGGTACTCTGCCTGGGCCGTTGCCTAGTGGACATCACGGTTCTCCCCGCAAGATGTCCAACAACCAGAGCATTCCTTCTGTCCAATATCCACTTGGGCGCCCTCAATACGTGGACTCTGCAATTCAAACTGAGCCTGAAGCTCCTATCGACAGAATATCCTCTTCGCCTACGCCTCGACGACCTAGGTTCGTACCATTGACTCAACGTTTGTTGAAACGATGCTATTCCGATCGTCTTCGCTTCGAAAAAAGCAGCCAATCTATATCACCTCCAATAAAACCAGTCAGACCTCTGGACTCGCCCCCTGCGTCTCTGAGCCCCCCTGGGGTCCTCCCACTTGAAGCGTCGACCCCCAGTACGTCAAGCGATAAGAACGATGCGGATATGAAGGATGCCGATTCGCCTATTCCTTCATCGTCCTCGCAAGCTTATCCCGCACAGCTCGAGACCTCGTCATCGGACCGCGGCATGGTCAAGCCTCCTTTGCCACCTCCGTGGCCATCAACAGCCGCTCACAATGCTCGAATACCACTGAAGACAGTCAGCCAACGTCGTCCCGAACTTCACGTTCGTCTTCCTCCCACGACCATCATCTCTCAATCATCTGCCTCAAGCCCTGGGTCTGCACCTGTGTCGACGTCATTATCTCCTTCGGGAGATGCACCTCCCCAACCTGCATTGCCCGCCCTTGCTTCGTCGAGTGTTGTTGCTCCCAGCCCCGTCAAGAAGAAGCTCAGCCTAGGAGACTACATAATTCGGCGTGGAACCAAAGCAACGCCGTCGGTAGAGAAAACTCAGCTCCAGGCCACTGGGATGCTTCCAACAACCCCCGCGGCATCAGGACCCGTGCATAGCAATTCACCGGGGAACATCGAAGCGACCAAGGGTGATGATCGACGCTCCCAGGATATGATGATGAAAGATATCTCTGGGCCTACACCTGCCTCTCACATGTCTTCACTGACGCGATGATGATTGGGCATTGGGGTTGGATGACAGGCCTGTCACTTGTCTGAGTCACTGTGCTGTGCTATGCAACCATGTTTTTGCTGTTTTCGTGTCTATTTTCTTTCGACCTGTAAAGGATGGGATTTGCGGGCGTTCTATGGGTGCCCTTCGGTTTTTCACTGGCGTATCAGGCGTGTTGGGATGGGAGCGGATTAGGTAAATACTTTTGGGACTGGGATGGGCAAAGGATATCACGGATGGGTTTAGGCCGACCTACACTATTAGGTCAATGATCTGCAGCACTCGCTTCACGATTGTCTTTATTACTATTATTTTTTCTTTTCCCTTTCTTTTTTTTTTTTCTCTTCTTTTCTTCTTCTTCTTCTTCTCTTCTTATCTTTTTTTTTTTCCTCCTCTTTTATTATTAGGAACTTTTGTGCCCAGAACACTGGGACTGACGACTCTTAATCAGGGTTGCTAATGAGGAATGAGAGCGTCTTTGATTGCTTTCACGTGGTGTTACTGTCGTAATTATCAGTACGTACGGAATATGCTCGGTCAGTTCATGAAGGAGTGGACTCGAGGTGGATGCTGCCTTTGCCTTGATGAGATCACATCTTCCCCTTGCTAGTCGACTCCTGAGCATCCTGTCAACCACTTCATTACTATTGCACTGGCAATGTCGTGTCAATCAGATTCTGAAGCCAGGCAACAACCAACCAGCCAACGAGGCGGATAAGATTAATTCCATCCCCTTACGTCTTATCCTGCAAAAGATTTTTCCGCTTCTTGTACACCCCGTCCCTGGCCAGGCCAGACTGTTGAGGCATGGACCCGCTTATCATGGACACGAAGAGAAAGGGAGATGATGACGTCTGAGGATGAGCCAGACCTCGTGAGAAATCGTGCAAGGACTATGGGCGCTGTCTATGGCGGAGCTAACATTGTGTGTATGTATACATAGCTGAGATCCCAGAGATAGAAGGGGGGTCTTTGCCACCATCCCCAGGACCACTCTCAATCTGAATTAGTCGGCCCTACACTTTCAGAGAACCACACTATATACCTACATACTGTAGTAGTCCAAGCATTTGGTTCCAGACAGGTTCCAGACAGGCTCAGCGAACCACAGGCTCGCAAGCTCCACCGACCATGACCGAGGTTGCCTGATGCAATGGGATGACATCAAGAGACGGATTGAGATGATGACGCGGGCCGAATCGAGGCTTATCGGGAGAAGACAGGGGGGCAACAATCGAGGGCAACAACAAGCGCCAGCAAATCTATATAAACAGGGATGTGATCTCTGAGATCGATGGTAGACCAAACTCCAGCTACTGATATTATCTGATATATCCACCATGGTCGTCAACATCACCGCCGAAGATCCCCAGCCCACCATCCACAGCCACATCAACGGCACCACCAACGAGATCCTCGATCGGCTCTGCGTGACCGAGCTTCTCAAAGGCTGGCCGGTATACCGAGACGCCTCGGAATGGGCCCATTACCGGAACTGCTTTGCCGAGCAGGCGTACATCTTCACCAGTCGGTTCCCCCTCCCCTTCCCTTCCCGTCCATTTCCCAATTCGTTCCAGCAACTGATCTGTCTATCTCGTGCAGCCTGGAGCGGCGGCATGCCCATCGATGAATTCATCGAAGTCTCCAAGAAGGGCCGGCGCAACGGGGACCACATCATGCACCGCGAGAACGGCACGCTGGTCGAGTTGAACCCGGACACCGGCCGCGCCGTGGGCAAGATGAAGGCCACCATCACCCAGCGCTTCGATTTCAACGGAGTGGAGTGCGACGTCGAATGCGACTGTCGCTTTATCATGTGGTGCCAGAAGGACCCGGCGGGCTGGAAGGTGCACTACAAGCGTCTCTTCTACGAGAAGGACAAGATCCTGCCCGTCGACGGCAAAAACGTCCCCGATTTTTCGGCGGAGGAGTTGAAGCCGTACCCCTATGGGTATCGGTATCTGGGCGCGGCGCAGGCCCGTCTGGGCCATAAGATCAAGCTGGACTTGCCGACGATGGAGGATAATGATAAGTTCCGGGGGATGTACGAGGCTATGGAGAAGTGGTTGCGCGGGGAGGATATCAAGGAGACGTTGGGGATTCCGCTGTGATTGCTGGGGTTGTTTTTGGAGGAGGTTCCATTCTTGTGTTGTTGATTTAGGCGCATTTTTTCTTTGGGAGGGTTGGTCATCTTTGTATTTGCCTGATTGAGCCGACTTGCATGGATTAACCATGAGTCACGAGTCTTGAATATGAAGTTTGTTGGTGCAGGTCCTCGTCGATAGCATTGCGGGGTATACTTCAAACGTTCTTTCTTTTCCTTTCCTCTCTTCCCTCACTTCCTTATCCTTCACCCCAACTTTGCTCCATCCTGCTTGCAATGGCTTCCTACGAAATGGAGAATGTTCGATCTCAAATACATCGAGGACCTTCTATCGATCGGGTTCGACCGAGGGCTTCGATGGAACTTGAACAACCGTTGCTGCCACCGGTCGACCAAGGCAGAGGAGCATGGCTGATCCTAGCATCCTGCTGTCTTATTCAACTTCCTGTGTGGGGTATGCTTCGTTCTCGACCGGGAAGAAGCTGTTTACTGAGCTCTCTGGTGCAGGTTTCTCCCTTGTCTCCGGTCTTTTCCAAGAATACTTCGAGACTCACAATGAACTTGATGGAAGCACTGGAGGTTTGGCGATTGTGGGAACCACATCGATGGTAGGAGTGTGCCCCTCTCCATCACCCATGGAACCACTGATAAACACCTCGAGTAGGGAATTCTGTACCTGTTGTCGCCTATCAGCTTTACCCTCCTGACCCGCTACCCTCATCTGCAGAAATACTGTGCCCCGGTTGGACTGGTTCTCAGCGTTGGAGGGTCGTTACTGTCATCCTTCGCCCAGAATGTCTGGCAATTGATAGCGACCCAAGGCGTCCTCTGTGGACTGGGAAACGGCCTCGTCTTCAGCCCAACGACGCTCCTTCTCGACCAGTGGTTCATTCGCCGTAAGGGCCTTGCATATGGCATCATGTGGGCCGGCAAAAGCGTCTGCGGCGTGGCGTTGCCCTTCCTGACAAGCGCTGCTCTCGATCGATACGGAGCGAGAACCACCCTACGAGCCTGGACAGTTATCACGGTGGGGAGAACACCAACAATGCCAATCCTGAGGATCTAGTCTGACCTGACATGATACAGCTTCTCACGACTTTGATAGCACTTCCCTTCATCAAGCCCCGAGTTCCTCCCGCGGCGTCCACGTCGCCCCAGCCTCTCAACCTCGCGTTCCTAAAACTGCTCACGTTCTGGACACTGGAGCTGGGAAACATTATCCAGAGTCTCGGATACTTTCTCCCGAGTACCTACCTCCCATCCTACTCGACAACGGCAGCCGGGCTGTCCGCAACGACCGGAACACTCCTTCTGGCTTTGTTCAATGCCACCTCCATCGTTGGCGGCATCGTTCTAGGCTCCATGTGCGACCGCTTCGCCGTCTCCAACATCATGCTGCTGTCGTCGGTGGGCTCGGGGCTATCTGTGTTGTTATTCTGGGGACTTTCTTCCGCTGCCACCAACCGGTCTTCTTCCTCCGAGCATCTGCAGGCTCATACCGCACTCGCCCTGTTGACGGTCTTCTCGATCACCTACGGCTTCTTTGCAGGAGGGTTCAGCTCCACCTGGTCCGGAGTCCTGACGCAGATCAAGCGGGAGATGCCCTCCTTGGAGACGGGGCTAGTCTTTGGGCTTTTGGCCGGGGGGAGGGGTATTGGGAGCGTGATCAGCGGACCGCTCAGTGAGAGATTGATGCAGAGAGGTTCTGTTGTTGGGGTCCGTAGTGGAGTGAGCACGGGGTATGCGACCGACTACGGAGCTGTGATTTTGTTTACAGGGGTCACTGCTCTGCTGGGAGGTTGGAGCTGGGTTTGGAGCTGGATGAGGAAGTTTCGGAACGATCTGTAGTTTTGAATACTTTAGTTTAGGTGTTTGAAATGAAACTGGATTACCAAGGAGTCTACTCATACTTCATAAAGTGAGTAGACGGCAGGGCGTGGACCTGCCAGTTGGCCAGGCCGCAACCTCCGGGGATGAAATCACGTGTTCAGCGCGCGCATCGAGAAAGTCGCTCTCAACTGAAGCTTCCTTCAACCTCCAAGCTGCGCTGCAATACCTCCACTTTTCCTCTTTTCCTCTTCTGCCATTATAGTTCTTCGAGCCCCCCTGAGCGGTGATAATTCCCCTTCAATTCTGACTCGGAACTTTGGTCTTCGCTCCAACATTGCGGTGGCTTCCAGCTAACATCTCCCACCCTCTTGACCTCCCAACTACACACACCACCACAAACCACACTCCCGGAACGACCATTGGGAGACCGACCACCCCACGATGGCCACCAATTCGCCCAGCATAGATCCCCTTCTCGCCCTCCGCCAATCCCTCCTCTCCAACCACCCCCCACGACCGACAACGTCCTCCTCCCCGAGCGACCCACCCACCGAACCCGACCTCGATCTCGCCAAAGCCACCCACCTGTACTTCACGCACCTCCCGAGCAACCCCCAGACCATCGCCCTCAACACCCCGACGCGCTTCGTCTCCAGCACGACAGGCGAGGCCGTCGACCTGCGCAGCATCTTCTTCGCGTGGCTGAAGAAAGACGTTGCGATCCCGGAGTACATCGCCGAAGCGGAGGGGCTGAACCAGGCCCTCAAGGAGAAGCGGAACGATGACCCCGCACAGCCCGAGGAGAAGGTCCAGAACCTGGTGTTCGTCGAGCGACTGGATCTGCTGACGTGGCTGGAGGGCGCGTCCGAGGAGAGTGAGTACATCAAGCCTCTGGAAGGCGAGGCCGCGGCGAAGGCGGCCGCGGCCGCCGCGACGGCTGCTGCTGCTGCTGCTGCTGCTGCCGCTGCCGCAGCGGGGGGTGAGGGTAGTCTTGGTGCGCAGGCTCAGGCGTCGGCCAATATTGCTTCGGGGGCGGCCGGGGGTGTCGCTACGGTGCCGAGTGGGAGCGGTGGTGGTGCGGCTGCGGCTGCAGCGTCCCAGCACGGCAGTCGGACGGCCAAGGTGATTGATCCGAGGTTACAGGAGATTTACAATGGGGAGCGGAAGATGGGGGACCGGAATAGTGTGTTGAGGGGGATTAAGCCGACGGTGAGTTTTGTTCTTAATCTATCCTTTGGATGGCTAGATGCTAATCGTTCTGGTGGGGGGGCGTTCAGGACTTTTCGCATGTACGCAAAACCGCAGAATCCATTCTGGGTCGGAATCGGTCGTCACGAACGGGTCAATATCCCGCGGGTGTCACCAAGCCGGGCAGCAAGCCGACCTCCTCCTCTTCCTCCTCGATGGTGCCGGTGCCCGCGCCGTCCGCCGGCCTCTCGCAACCCCGAAGCAGCAAGAGCAGCTCCAAGACGCAGGATCCGATCATCCTGCTATCGCCGTCCGCATCGTCGCTTATCCGCATGTCCAATGTGCGCTCCTTCCTCGAGGAGGGGGTCTTCATCCCGCCCGACCACCCCACGTTGGCCACGGGGACGAACAGCAACATCCTCTACATCAATCGACCCCTGCGCATCCAAGAAAACTCCTCCAGTACCTCTCTCCTTCGCTCCGGGTCCAGCGCGTCCTCCTCCGGCTCCCGCAAGCCTACGCGGTTCATCTTGGTGGACAGCACGGCCAACTTCCGGCCCGATTACTGGAACCGCCTGGTGGCCGTCTTCACGACGGGCCAAACCTGGCAGTTCAAATCTTACAAGTGGTCCTCTCCACCCGAGCTATTCAAACATGCCACGGGTGTCTATGTGGGCTGGCGCGGGGAGGACAGTCCGCGCGAGGTCCGCAACTGGGGTCGTGGGGTCCAGAGCTTCTCGGTCGAGCGGTGGGACGAGAAGGGCGGGGTGAACGGCACCGGGCGGTGGAGAGATCGCGAGGTCGTCGAGGGCATTTGGTCGGCAATTGAGGAGGGCATGCGACTGAGAGGCTGGGCTGGCAAGTAGACCTGAAGTGGCCGGTTGTATCTTTCTGGATATGATTGGGGCAGGGGTGGGGGGTGGGGGGTGGGGGGTCGTTCTGTCAGGGTCCTTCAGATTGTCTTCTCCTTATTTTCTTCGGGGGGGGTTTGCCTCGATTTTGGGATGTCTGCGATGAACAGGCGTGCAAGAATAATATCTTGAAACCAAGGACGTCTCACCCTGTGTCTCTTGGCTCGATTTCGAGGAGTTACCGTCTGATGATGTCTTGGGTCTAAGGGAGGGGCCCTCACCCCTGTGAGATTAATGCATGTACTCTGACTCGAGTCCTGAGTCGAATCTCCAGCCATCTCTCCATCTACCATCTACACAAACCGTCCATCCAGCCACCTGACCCTGACCCCGACACATACACATACACACGCAGACCACCACCCCCTCCCCGAGAGACCTTCATCTGAATCAAATCCACCCAACCTACAACCTACAACCCACCGCTCCACTCACCTCCAGCACCCAAAGCTCTTGGAGGATGTGCATACATACATACATACACCTCTATTCTTCCTCATTCCCACCGGCATCCAATCCGACACTGCTTCTATTTTGGGGATTCTGCTACGAAGGGCGTAATGGTTCTATCTACTTCTACTTCTGGGCTGGGAGGGGGGCGTGTCTCTTTTCGGTTTCTGGATCGCAATCCACACTATTCCTGTTTTCTGTAGGCTTCTGGACATTGATCGTGCTGTACCTCCAAGCTACCACCTACCAACCACTATGAACAAAAAAATCAAAATTGATCCTATACTACAGTACACTTCCCCCGTGGCACTAGATATTGAGTTGCGACCTGGCCTCCCGCCCAGATCCGGGTCAGGACGGGTCCTGCGTTGTTAATTCGGGTACCTAGATCGAATACCTAGGTACCTTATCCGGACTTCCTGCCTGTTCAGGGAATATATGGTACAGTTGTAAGTGTAGTACAGTGAGACGGAGGCACAGCGCGTAAGCGCATAAGACGGGATAGCTGACTAACCACACACCCCCCAACTAGCTATTGGCACAAAGAACCCTCCCCTCCTCCCTCTTCGAAGAGAAGTATAGGAAATAAGTTAGTGACTCTTATCCAAGTATAGCATACAAAGAAAATCTGCATCCTCCCCAAAGGAGGCGGTCATGTGAAGGACAGACAGGCAGGCACAACCACAACCACACCCACACCTACAACCCAACAACAAAGTACTGTACAAACCATTCAAAGACGTGATTGATTCTGTCCCGCCACACCACCCCCCCCCCCTGCACCCTCGTGCAGAGGAAAAAACCACGTGTTGGCCATGTGGGTGTGATTTGATTTGTTTCTTCGCTGCGGGACTTTGTTTTCTTCAACGGCAACTTCGACTTCCAACTTCAACATTCTTCATCCTTCATCCGCTCCCGTCGCCATCACCATATTCCTTTATCCTACATGGGTATCGCTTCCGGGTTGGAGGGGTATGCGCTATCCTCGGTTTCTACTGGATCTTCTTACTTTGTTGAGGGGGGTCATGATCAGAGCAGTTGGTGATGTTCACGGATGATTTTACTGAGGGTGTCTTGATCCGTGGCGCGTTAGTATCGAGGAGCGCAATGTAGACTACAAGTCGGAGAAAATCAAGAATAAATACTAATCGGTTGGTATTCACGATAAAAGTCTTGAGTCGCAAAGGCCCAGACACGAATCAGAACATGGCACACATGTGTATACACACACAGAACTCACTCGCTGGATATGGCGCAGAAAACAAAAAGTTAACCCATGAAAATGCAGATCAGATATGCTATCGATGATGCAGGCAAAAATATAGGTCAAGTGAAACTCAACAAAGAAAGAAACAAAGGACATTTGGCGGCATGCACACACATAAATCAATAAGTCAGTCAATCAATCGGATTTTAATCACCAAGTAGAAAAAGAAGTGTGCACAAAAGTGCATCGATGCCAGAGGAAAGAAGAAATATGGGGGTAAAAAACGCCTCTCTAATGCTGGAATGCTGGAATACTGGCGGTGTGTTTCAGCCTTCCCGACTTCAAGTTCGACGGAAAAAGCGAGAAAAAAAAAAAAAAAAAACATAAAAAGGGGTAAAGGAGACAATGACAAAGGAAATTGGATTAAGAGAACAGAAATTCGGGTCCCAGCATCTATCACATGATCCATTGATCGTTAAAACATCCTTTTCCACTCATCGGTCGTGATGAACGAATTATTTCAGGTGATCTGGTTGCCAAAGAAGAACTCTCCACGTCCATTTGGAATCGGACACGAGTTCTCATGCAGTGAAGTAAAGAAAAGTCGGAGACGCATAACGTGTAATCATGTCGTGTCAAGTCAAATGTTCGGAAGCAGACCCCAGGTACAACAGGAGTCACTTTTGCTGGTCGGTCAACGTCGCGCTAGACCGCGCCGACTCAGGATTCATAAGGTCTGGCGGTGTCTCAGAGCACACTAGACTCCGAGGTTTCGGTGGATTCCTCGCTTGGAGTTATCCAAATACAAGCTGGTGTTGATCCCAATGATGAGGTAGTGATTAGTGTAGCCCCACGTTGGTCCATTTTCAAGGTTCGACTCATGGACGCGCCGAGCGGCTTGCCGAACGCTCCGGTACCGGAGCCGGAGTTGGAGAGTAAGACCGCGGGGCACCAATCAAGTCCACATCGTGCTCCTGAAGGATACTAGCACACTTGGGATCGCGAAGGAACTTGGGAACAGAGTCCTACTGAACGTCAGAAAATTGATTCGTGAAGAATGAGTACCGTTTCCCGTCTGTGAACTTACGCTTGACATCAACTTGAAAACCGACGTTTGGGCCATTTCGAACAGATGTACCACCTCCTGGAGACTCTTGAGCATGGACTCGTCGTCACCCACAGCCTTGGTCATACGGCTGGCAAGGCTGTTGCGCAGAGCGTGATCAATGTTCAGCTCACAAGGCGAGCCAGGGGCCAAGAACGCGTTGTACAGACCTGCACAT